ACTGTGACCTCGTCTTTAGAGCCAAGGCCAAAGACAACAGGGACTACCACACAGAAATAAACGGCAATGTATTTCTGGAGTGGGTGAAAGATAAATTAGTCCCTGCTTTGCCTACCAAGTCTCTCATTGTCATGGACAATGCACCGTATCATAGTGTGCAGGATCCAGAAAGCAAGACTCCAACCTCTAATAACCGTAAAGGAGACATGGTTACTTGGCTGCAACGGAGGAACATTACCTTTCCTTCTCGAGCGACGAAACCACAGCTCTATGACATCATCAAAACTATGAAACCTGACCCGTGTATAAAGTTGACAGTTACATCAAGGGTCAGGGTCAGGCTGTCTTACGACTGCCACCTTATCACTGCGACCTGAATTGGGTTTAACGTCGCGTCCAAGATTATTGCACTTATATAGCGACGTGCATGCACGTGTATGTGTGTGTGTGGCTGCTTGTACTAGTCCGGACTGATACCGATTTATAGTGCTAGCAGACTGAGATACCATGCCGCAGTTTAACACGAATACCCCACTCAGACACAGTATACTGACTCAGAGCCGACCAGTCCTTGTTTTAGCCCCTTAATGTCAAGCGCCAGACAGGGTAACAACAAGTACCACCTTTTAACGTCTTTTTGTATGACGCGGCCCGGGATCGAACCCTGGACCTTCCGCTCTCCGGGCGGACGCTCTACCACTAGACCACGGAGGCGGTCGAACCCAATCGAGTTGGTATGGGGCATCGAACACAACGTTCAAATTACGAGACGTTGAACAACTCGTAAAGGAATCCCTTAGTCGGGTAACAGTAGAAACATGGAGGCGTTGTGTGGCCACAGTCGTTGACGAGATAGAGCCACGTTATTGGTCACGAGATGGACTACGGCCAGCAACAGTCCCACCTATAATAGTGGCAGTCGGTTCAGGCACCAGCAGTTCCGATGACGAGATCTAGGCATGAGCGAGTCAGATTGGACTGAAATTATCATGAGACGGCCCCTCTAACGCTCTGTCATTTCCCCTACCACAGAACGTGCAGTGCATGCGTGCTTGCGCTGTGCCTTCCACTGTTTGTCCCCCTTACGTGTCATGTACACATTTCTATACAAAATTATATGATAGTTTCTTAAAGAACTTCATCCGTCATGGGTCTTAAAATCAACAAAATTCAGATTTTGTTGGGTACAGGGTATTCATGGTCAAGTACCGTATTGATGTTTCATACACTTTTCTGGGTTTCCAGTTAATTTGCAATTCATCGTTCTCGTTTGGAGTCAAAATTTCTTAAGCTTATATGTCAGGTAGTGCATACATGCAGGGCACGTATACTTTGGATTCAGAGATGTAAATTTCAATTTTTATTGTTTTAATTTGGAAACATTAACAGAAAATATTATAGAGTATAATTTTGTGGAGATAATTGTATTTGTATTTAGACATTATATACATTGTAAGTTTACATTGTAAACAGTAAACATTTCTACAGCTATATCTATAGTGGATGGGGGGGCGATGGGGTGGCCTAGTGGTTCCAGCGTTTGCTCGTCACCCAGAAGACCCGGGTTCGATTCCCCACAATGTGTGAAGCCCATTTCTGGTGTCCCCCGCCGTGATATTGCTGGAATATTGCTAAAAGCTGCGTAAAACCATACTCACTCACTCACTATAGTGGATGGGGATTTATAAACAAGGTTTCAATAGTGACACAGGATAACAGTGGACGTGTGTCCAATATGAAAACATTACACGGAAAAGGACAATATCATGAAAACTCTGTAGGCCGTATTTCAATATGTCGTAAAAATACGGAAAAGTCCAAATGAGACTAAACAACCAACATGCTTCCCGAGAGAGGAAGGTCCGGGGTTCGGTCCCCGACCGCGTCATACCAAAAGACGTTAAAAGATGGTACTTGTTGTTACCCTGTCTGGCGCTCGGCATTAAGGGGCTAAAACAAGGAGTGGTCGGCTCGGAGTCAGTATACTGTGTCTGAGTGGGGTAATTATGTTAAACTGCGGCATGGTATCTCAGTGAGCTAGCACTATAAATCGGCATCAGTCCGGACTAGTACAAGCAGACACAAAAACACACACACATGTACATGCACGTCGCTATATAAGTGCAATAATCTTGGACGCGACGTTAAACCCCATTTCACCTCACCTTAGTATCCAACTAGTATCGCAACTACACAAGACATTATCACTGTATGAATCACAACATGTACTATAATAACATCACAAAAAGAAATGAAAGTAGGATTGTAAGTATATCTACGAGTGAGTTTGGTTTAGCGCCGCTTTTAACAATATTCCAGTTATATCACGGCGTGTCAACTAATGTGGGAGGAAAGCCCGAAGTGATGCAGGTATTAGACGTATACCGCTTTGGTGAAACCCACGGGTTTGGTGCTGACAAACCTAGAAACATAATCGGCGCGAACCGGAATTCGAACCCACAATCATAGGTTTTTGGCGTGCCCAAGGGACGCAATTCTGCACAGCGAATTGCGGCGCCTTAGACGACTGGGTCACCCGTGCCCCCAGTATCATCAACGAAGATGAAAGTATTATCTACGTACATGATAAAACGCGTACAGTCTGTACCCGGCTGGTGGTAAGACCCTCCAACCACAGGAGTCCGTATCTAAAAATAGACGCTCTCATGCATATTCATGACCATCTCCACACGGGCTCGCGTGTGGAGATGGTCATGAATATGCATGAGGGCGTCTATTTTTAGATACGGACTCCTGTGCTCCAACCAACTTGCAGGCCTTGTAGCAGGTGTAAGAAGCCCGGTTCAATCCCCGTCTCAAACACTCTCGAGTGACTTGACCCTCGGCTGAGATCGCTCTAAAGTGAGATGTCAGTGCTCTCTGATAATGCGTTCAACATTTACCAACATGTAACACATGGTAAATTGACATGGTCCAAGCTTGCAAACACTGGCGTCATCATTTTTTTACCTTTTATGCCCAATGGATTTTACTTCGTTGTAAATCGAAACTGGCTATTGTCTCGTGTTAACGTTTTATATGTCAACAACAATGGTTTCTACGACATGAGTATTGACTGATAACTTCTGATAAATACATCCCAATCTCATTTAAATCAGATCTAAGTTCTCTGAACCCAATAACAAGAAGTCGATATCAGCCAATAAGAACGCAGCTTCCTCGAGCTTTACGGCACACGTTTCAACCTGGCGACTTCCATTTCAGACTATATTGACAAAGTTCTCGATTAAAATTTTGAAAACTAAAAGAACAATCCGGAATGTCAAATATATGGTTGTGATTGTATGGCAGTGCTTCCCACGTACTGCGCAACGCCTCCTCCGTTCAAATGTTTATCCAACGGAAGCGAGAGACAGACGATAATTTTGACGGAATCAGTCGTACGAGCCGTAACTGTCGTTCGGAATACCCCGTGTTAACGTTTTCGAGGTTGCATGATTAGAAAACACATTCCGAGTGTCACTTTCATGATCTGGTAAGTGACGCTTTCATTGGTCGGATGAAAGGTCGTTCTGACGTTATCCGTAATGGGATGTCCTCAGATCTTTGTTTGGCGATAGCGAGAACTTGGGTCTGATTTTAATGAGATTGGATACATTCATTCATAGTCATGATGACCCCAGTTGTACAGGAGACTAGCATAAAAAACACGACCTGTTTAGCTGAACAGATGACGGGACAGTTCACAATCCTTCCGTCCTACTAAATAACGCCCGGGGGCGTCCGGAAACGTCCGGGAGCGTCCGGGAGCGTCCGGGCAATGCCAGGGAGCGTCCGGGAGAATGATACTAAATAATAAAGTGTATTCAATATAATTGTGTTCTTGTATTAATTATACAAAATAACATATAGCTGAAAAAAATGACATTCACCCTTATTCTTTTTAAATGGTGAATCTTCGAAGCAAATAGGTTTTAATTTTATTCGAACTGACGAGGTATTCGTAACGTAGGCTTTGAAGGATACAATGTAAAGTTGGTTATGGAACAAAAATAATGTTCTTTTATCGTGTCATATTCTGTATACTATTTCATAAGTAATACTGAAAGACAGACGTTTTCAAAAGTTCATGCGTGGCCCCAGATGGTTCACTGAGTGTAAAACGTCCGGTACTATAGCGTCTTTCTCGTAATGATGAAAGGTATGATGGGAAGAACACCAATACGGGAAAGTGTTGTGTCTGTTCTAGCCCAGGTGGGTAGTCTTAATCAACTTAAGGCAGAATTTATGGGTTCTTTCAAGTTGAAGGCGGGAGCACGGGTGGCCCAGTCGTCTAAGGCGCCGCGATTCGCTGTGCAGAGTTGCGTCCCTTGGGCACATCAGAAACCTGTGATTGTGGGTTCGAATCTCAGTTCTCCCTGAATATGTTTCTACGTTTGTCAGCACCAAACCCATGCCCGTGGTTTTCACCGAAGTGGTAAACGTCAGATAGCTGCATCAATTGAGATGGCCCGCCACGCGTTGACGACGTGATAATCCTATAAATCCGCGGATGATTCGTAACTTACCCGCGGATTATCCAGGGATTATTCGCAGTTTTACCCCTCTGCAAATGGTACTTTTGCACATAGAAACACACAGATGCATATTTCAATATCATGTCTTGTTTCGTTGTTGTTATGTACAGTTTATACCACTTGTCTCATGTCGTTTATTTAGTGAATGAAAACGCATGACATGCTTCCCAATGTATCCAACCATTGTTTCCGGTTTGCACAACTCCTGGAGACAATGCATGGTTAGATACCCTGCTATGTGCGACGGACATTATATTTCACGGGCCAATCAGTGTGTTGTTATTTGCAAAGAAGTGATGTATTCCCAACATGCGCGCTTTAATTGAATGAAAATATTCAGGTAGTGCAGTCGATCCACACGTACATGAGATTTAATACATGTATTAATGTATGTGGGAGTCGTATGCCATACACGTATACACTGTGGTATCAGTGTTTGTTATTTCGTACACAGGACCAAAGATGGGACTGCTGCCGGCAGTTGTTAGCGCCACCATCATTGTAGCCATTCCTGTCATTCAAATAGGTACGTGGTCCCTTAATCATTGTGGAGAGAGAGAGAGAGAGAGAGAGAGAGAGAGAGAGAGAGAGGTGAGAGAGAGAGAGAGAGAGAGAGAGAGAGAGAGAGAGAGAGAGAGATGTATAACCTATATATGTGTTTCTAACAAGAGGACGTATATTAATCTATTCGAACATTCTTTTCCAGGTATTGTGTACAGAATTATCTGGGTGCCGGACAAACCGGAAGTCGACAAAAACAATTGTGAAAATTCATGTTTTGATACCATCTTTAAAGGTAAGCTTCTAATACGTCCCCATTAATAATTTAGAATGAGAAGTAAGTGTGTGTGTGTGTGTCTGTGTCTGTGTGTGTGTCCTTTTCAAGCGCCCCCTGTCTTATTTCCGGTTACATCGACGTTAAACTGCTCATAAGTATTGCGTGTAAGACAACTTCCGGTCGCCCCGCCTTTCCATGCCTGCTTCCTGTCGGCGAGATACGCGATGGTGAATTGCACCACATCATCACATGTCCCTGCATCAACAAACATATGATTTTTCTATTTGAATTTTACACGAACTACGGCATTTCTATTGGTCGGTCAATGACCGTGAAATTGACGCTCAATTAATACAATATTTGGCCCTCACTCTATGAAGGTTCACACTCCAATGGTTGGTTGGTTGGTTTGTTGTTTAACGCCGCACTCAGCAATATTCCAGCTATATGACGGCGGTCTGTAAATATTCCACGCGATGAACACTTAAATCTTGAAATCAATTCCTAAATGAAAAACTCTTCATTTGCGAAACGGAATATCGGGTGGGTAAATTGTTTGGCTTAACGTGGCTTGAAACAGTATTCCAGCTTTATCATGGTGTGTTTACTTATGCGAGAGGAAAGGGCGTTGCTAGGTGACAGGCCGCTGAGAAATGGACCCCATCATGCACCGCGGTCCTGATCATGGTCATATACGACGCCCTGAATATAACCATGCGCTTCGAATCTGTGGAGGCTTTTTCCAAACATGCGGTGTTTTAACTGGAATACTGTTAAAAGCAGCGTTTAATCCCGTCACTTCGGGACTGTCTCCAGCATGAATGGACACGCCTATTCGTCACCACTCGCCCCTTTCGGTAACCTGCAAGAAGACTCGTCCCCCTATCGATGAATGTTATGTGCGTAAATACGACAAAGATTCGTCAAAGAATCCCTCAGAAATAATTTTTGATTTTACATGTCTTGTATCTAAAAATATACCCAAGACACCGTAAAATGTGTTCAATCATATTGTATAATTCCGCACGTCCCGATGTGCTTTAAATTGCATCTGAAATATATATAATATATGGGGAAATAGATGTGAACCATTACGCAACGAGTTGACAAATGTTTTAGGTAAGCCCGTTTGCGCTAAGACGGAACCCGGTCGCTAAAGCCCCCATTACACAGAGCTGCGACCTTTGTGCAACCATCGAGCGATCAAAACTGGCCAGGACGCTCAATGGTCGCCTAAACCCAGAAAATCATGTTTCTGTGTAACTGCTCCAGCAGTTGTTCAGCAGTAACTGCTCGAGTTGTTCAGCGTCTGCAACCACAATGAAACACCGCAGGTACAAGCCCTATATTCATAGGCAGGCTGAGGAGGCACTACAGGTAGCTCAAATGAGGCAGAAAAGAGGCTGAAGCATTGCCATGGTGTCTCAAGTGTTGCCGTGGTCGCCGAATGGAGGCACGGCGGTCGCCATACTCATCGTTCAATGGACGCTGTTGGTCGCCCAAAGAAGGCACAACGGCAATGCTTGTGCCTCCCTTCTGCCCCCTTTGAGACACCTTTGAGCAACCAACCTCCTCGGCGACCTTTGTGCGACTGTTTTTAACATGTTAAAAAATTCACGGCGACCATGGCGTCCATGGCGATGCCTGAACCTCCTGTGTACCACCTTGGAACGACCTAGGCAACCATTCTGCCTCCTTTGAGCCTCCAACGACGACCTGGCAAATTCTATGGTCGCACATGGGAGGCACAAAGGTCGCCATCCTGTGTAAAGGCCCCATAAAACGGCCATGAGAAGGGCACGAGTCGCTATTCGGCTTGTCCCGGAATAACACGAGTTGGCGCGACACGCCGTGACACAACTGATTTACTGTTCAAAGGGGCGTAAAACACAACTCACTCACTCTCTCATGAATATTGGTGGTTTTCCATCTTGACCTCTTTTCAGGGGTTGGTGGGGCAGCCTCGTCGTAAAAGCGTTCGCTCTTGAAGCTGAAGGCCTGGGTTAAATCCTAACAATTTTGCTGGAATATTACTAAAAGCGGCGTAAAAATTTACTCACTCACTCTGTTTTCAGGCTCCTACGAGAAGAGCGGAAGTAAGCATGGGTACAAGCACGTGTACTTCAACGCCACGCGGCAGACCATGTGTGTTTGGGTCATCACCTTTGTGTATGTCATCCTTGGATACGAAGCACTGAAGCTCTTTTTCTCCTTCCTCTTCTCTCGCTCCCTCCGACCAATCATGGCGACTCTCTTCTTCGTCAGTGTCTACCCACACGTCTTCGCCTGGTGGGCAATATTCAACTACTACAACGACGATTTCTACCTGATGTTCAACCACCAAATATTCTTCTCAGTCACAGAAATGCTGTCGACGTACGCCATCTTGAAATCATGCGACAGACACTCTGAAAGGCGTGTTGTGCTTTATAATTTAATCATAGGGGCTGCTCTTGCACATGTTATTATTGGCAGTTTGGACCAATTCATTTCTCATATTATATACAAGGAGGGCAAACCTCACCAGGTATGGCGGGACATCGGGCTCCTGGTCCCCGATATCATGATGGTAGTACTTCCGGTTGTTGATTACATGAAAGGGGAGATAACTCTGAGACCCAGATATATATTGTCGGATCTACGTGAACGTTTCACCAAGGATAAATCATCAAGGACAAATGCTTTAATTTTAGTAGGCTATGTGGCCGGTTTGCTAATAACAGGGAAACTATTATAAGTAATTATACATTGTATTGGCCTATTAATGTAACTAGTATAGATCAAATAAGCCCTGTCCGAACTCCGTACACGAATTTTGTGCGAACCCGAGTGAAGCAATGTGTAGAGCAGGCGCACGTTAGATGCTGAGCACGTTGCACGAGACATATTGCGATTGATGGGACCTCTGCATTCACGGGTGATGGTGGGTGCGTACTGAAAAGAAACCCTTGAAATTTGACCATATTAAAGCACGTCACCTAAACAGTTATATGACGATATTTAAAGAAACCAAATGCTGTCTAGTTTTTTTAGGGGCAAAAGAAAGCATACCTATTATACCTGTTAAATTGAAAAATTGAACGAACTGTGGCCAAATTTGATTGTCCTGCAACAGTTTGTCAAAAGTAATCTGTGGCTGGGTAATTATGGGCAAAAATAAATTGGTTCAGTGAAGACTGGGGTTAGAGTGAGTGAGTATGGTTTTACGCCGCTTGTAGCAATATTCCAGCAATATCACGGCGGGGAACACCGGAAATGGGCTTCACACATTGTACCCGTGTCGGGAATAGAACCCGGGCCTTCGGCGAACAAGCGAACGCTCCTTACTGGGGTAAGAAATGAACAGCAAACACGACCCCTACTATATTTGAACTGTAAATGTTTGCCGAAACAATACAAATTTATATGATTTTCAAAGATTAGATGCCTGAGATACACATAAGAGGTTGTGCTATATGCGAATTATTATTTTATTTGTATTTTTTAATATTACATTTATTCAAAAAGATATAACCATGTTGAAGTGTTGCTGGAGGGCTGACTAAAAGCTCGAGTACAGTTCATTTGTTGGATATGATATCGTTAACTTAGGATACTTTCAACTGAAAATCAAACACATGATATATTATCAATAAGACCCGTGAAGACCCGTAAAAGGCCACTATGCTTGTCGTAAGAGGCGACCTACGGGATCGGGTGGTCAGGCTCGCTGACTTGGTTGATGCATGTCATTGATCCCAATTACGTTGATCCATGCTCATGATATTAATCACTGGATTATCTGGTCCAGACTCGACTATTTACAGACCGCCGTCATATAGCTGGAATATTGCTGAGTACCGCGTTAAACAACAAACAAACAATACCAGGCACAGAACACGTCCCGAACACACTATTGCTTGTTGTAAGATCCGGGCAAAGAGCATGAGGTGGTCAGACTCGTTCACTTGGTTGATTGCGTGTCATCCTACCCCGACGGCGTGCTGCGTTGCTCATGAGTTTAACCAGTAGTGTGGATGCAAGACGACAAAACGACGAGTTGGTGACGAGTTGGTGACACGTTGAAGCGCCGACAAGTTGAGGTTCAGAAAACTACAATAGACAATAGCTTTCTGTAAATTCAGAAACATTTACCAATTTTACTAGTATTTAACCCATTCAAAATTACATCCAAAGAAGCAATAAATTCATTGACTACAATGAAATTATGCAAAATTACCAAGCACACATTTGCAAATATAATGTAACAGTTGTGTGAAATATCTAAACAATTTTGCACTAAATTAATATTTTGGCATATATACAATTTCAGGGTGTTCAGTAATAAACATAGAACCTAACAATAAAAGGGAAAGGTACTCACATGTGTCTTTACATATTTCAAATATAGCAGGCAAAATGCATGAGCTTTGAAGAGGTCGCGACATGACCTGTGAGATTTGACATTGCACATGAAGGTTAAGGTCACGAGGTAGTGGAAAGTTACTGAGAACATGTAAACATTGTATACATGTATCTTAGAATTGTTAAATATTACGTGGAAATTGAACTTTAGAACATTGGTGTAATAATAAAGTGTCTTAATCATTGGACCACCATGGATAATAAGTTAAATGAATTGTAACAATTTTAACTTGTTTTCATGTCATTTCACTAGCAGTTCGTACTTTGAAACATTAGGAAATCTTGCGTCTACACACTCGGCCTCTTAAACATACTCACGGTGTGTTTAACAGCAAAAAACCGACCTACAAAAATGCAAGATGACAATGTCATTAACACGACGTCAAACATACATTTTAATCAACTGTTTGAGGGAATGAGTAAAACGAGTTTGTGAATAGGTCTTCGCAGTTCAGAGTCTTGTTTGCAATATGACACTCCTGACATATCCGCTTTCATCAGCCTCAGCTCCGGTCACACGACCCATAGACCAAGTGCTTCGGGGAAGTGTATCATCTTTTATGAGCACGATATCGTTCAATTGGAAATTGCGGTTCGGAGTGTTCCATGTTTGACGTTGTAGTGTTACAAGATACTCTCTTTTCCAACGTGACCAGAAGACATTTGCCAGATGTTGAATGCGTCTCCAGCGTCGACGTGCATAAACATCGTTTAGCTGAAATTCGCCAGGTGGGGGGATATAGACTTGATTTCATCATGAGAAGGTGATTTGGCATGTGCTCGGACTCTTTCCTTTGCTGTGCTCTCAAGAAATACTATTTCAGACTTGTAAGTGTTCAATTGGACAAATCTAAGAATGTTTCTTTCAGCTGATGCAAGCTCTTGGACGGTGAGGGGTTCATTCATTGCAGTGGATTGCTTCTTCAGACCGCTTGAGGATTTCGATTTCTTGACCTGAAGATAAGCACAGAATCTGCGGTAAATTGCAACAGCTCTTTTTAGACGATACCATGAAGAATAATGATTGATCAAAGTATCTACTGTCTCACTATCAGCATTGGCAGCTTCTTCTGACTTTACCATTCCAGCATATCCATGACAATCAGAGACTGGCCATTTGTCTTCAGGAGTTCCAAGAAACTGTGGTCCATCAAACCAGAGAGTTGACTTGAGAAACTGCTTACAACTTGAGCCTCTAGAAGCAATATCTGCTTGGTTACCTTTTGGATCAATGTACTTCCATTGCTGGGGCTCGCTGTAATCTGATCATCTTCACACGGTTTGTTACAAAGACTGGAAATCTGTTCCGCTCATTGCTGATATAGTGAAGAACGGTTGTTGAGTCGGTGTAATAAGTGACTTTATCAATGCTGATGTCCAACTCATGCAACAAAAACTTACCAAGTTTAACTGAAGCTGTAGCTGCTGACAGTTCAAGCCTTGGGATGGTCAGAGTTTTCAAAGGGGCTAGCCTGGCTTTGCCTAGTAACAGAGCAGTGTGTATGTTATCTTGGTCATCACAAAGTCTAAGGGGTGGTCGGGTAGCCTAGTGGTTAAAGCGTTCGCTCGTCACGCCGAAGACCCGGGTTCGATTCCCGACATGGGTACAATGTGTGAAACCCATTTCTGGTGTCCCCCGCCGTGATATTGCTGGAATATTGCTAAAAGCGGCGTAAAACCATATTCACTCACTCACTCACAAAGTCTAAGGTAAGCTGAACATCCGTACCCGGTAGTACTAGCGTCAGAAAAGATGTGCAATTGTCTTGAAACAATTGTGCCAAAAGGAGAAGGCTTGAAGCAGCGTTTAACAGTTAAGCCTCTTAACAATTCCAACTCTTGAAGCCATTGTTCCCATCCTCGTTTGTGCTCAGTGCTGACTTCGTCGTCCCAGCCTAAGGACTTGTCCTTACATAAGTTTTGGTGGATCTTTTTGGCAGGTAGCAAGACTGGTGATACAAGGCCTAACGGATCATACAAGGAAGACATTGTAGACAAAATTCCTCTCCTTGTCATTGATTTCTTCGGCAAATCTACAGAGAATTTGAAACTATCTGACTTTATATCCCACTGCATACCAAGTGCTCGTTCCATTGGAATGTCATCATAGTTCAAATGGATTTCCTTAGAACAATGTTCTGTGGGAATGGATGCCAAAACAGTTTTGCTGTTACTAGTAAATTTGGTAAGATGAAATCCCCCTTCTGCGCATGCAGATTGCAAATTGGTTATCAGCTCAACAGCTACTTGGTTGTTTTCAACAGACTTGAGACCGCCGTCTACATAAAAGTTCCTTTTTATGGTTTCGATAACTTATGCATCATATTTTGACTTTGCATTTCTTGCAGAAGCTTTCAGTGCATAGTTTGCAATAGTGGGAGATGACACAGATCCAGAAGTGTGAACTGTCATTTTGTACTCCTTTAAGTCACTGTTCAAATCGCCGTTAGGCCACCACAGAAACCGGAGAAAGATAGGGCAGTGATCGCTACAGATTGGATCAAGTACACCAGAAGACCTCACATTGTATACACAGGATACAAATATTTAATCGATCAAAGTTTTAGAATTAGAGGTTATTCTTGTAGGATCTGTAATTATTTGTTTTAAACCGTACATAGATTGTAAATGTTCAATCTTTTTAGTGGTTTCGCATAGAATATCTAGATTGAAGTCGCCAGTAACAATAGTAAACATATCAAGATCAACAGAATTGCCTATTCATTCATCAATTAAATTCCAATAATGAACACATTTATCGGCAGATAAAATGTACCAATTAAGTAATTTCGAGTTTTACATTTAACCTGTATCCATATCGCCTCAAGCTCGGCAAGTTCTAAATTTCTCATTATTTTAGCGTTTAGATTATTTTTAACATAAGCCGCAACCCCACCACCACGTTTTGTTCTGTCTTTTCTAAATGGAGATTGAAAACCGGGAATTTGTATGTCATTGTTTCGAATATCTTCACTTAACCATGTTTCAGTCAAACATATTACATCGTATGACCCAAATTTTGCGCTTAAAATATTCAATTTATCCCTAAGACTACGAACATTTAGGTGTATAATATTTAAGTCTTTTAAGTATTTAGGTCCAGGATGAGGGTGAACATCTCCACAGCAGAGGAGTAGAAAAATGAAGAAAATTGATAGTCGCAGATTATACAAACATCGAAATTTAGAAATGTGTACAAAAATCAGAAACTTAAATGAGTATTTAACATGAAGTGTAACTGCAAATGTACCCACTGCTTGTCTATATTGGGATATGTCAACCGACATCGAATGTTAGTATGATAAAACAATTAAAGGCACAGTGGGTCGCAAAAGAAATGGACAAACGCACAGACACACACAAGCTACAGATATGGCTCGGTACAAGATACATAAATAAGCACTATTTTGGTTTTCTTCTCTTGGACAACAAACAAGTACGAAAAATTTATCAAAAACAGAGATGAAAAAGTGAATGAACAACACACACATAACATAGGCACAATTTTTTATGGATAACAACTTCTTTAATACTGTAAAAAGCGACGTTTCGGTATAGATCCTTATACCGTTGTCAAGCAAGACTGAATGAGGGACATAGTACAGAATATATATACCGGTAGTAGGTGGAGGATTAACAGTAGAGGATTAACAGTAACAACAAGGGCATACATGAGTGTGATAACATAGGTAGGTGTGACAACAAGGATGATGCTATACCAACACGATGGACAGAAAACACATAACGCATAACCAACAATCAAAAA